TAAATAAATAAAATAAAAAATAAAAAAACAAGTCATTGAAAAAAAAAAAAAACGAATTTCAACAAAATTGTTCTTCAACAGGGCATCACTTAGTCGACTACTCACATTTTAAGCTTTATAATTGATTTTTGAACTAAAGCCAAAAAATCAAAAGCTTTGCACACTCTTCAGAGGAAATACAGGCACACAATTTCTGTGCATATCCGAATAGCCTAAATCTTATTATTATTATAATAATTATTATAATTGTGTTGTTTGCCATGTGACACGGAGCAATTGAAAGTTTGTGGCGCGCTTTCACCCGCCACCCCGTCAAGGACAAACTTTTTGAAAGTCAAACGCTGTTCCTTCACATGGCTCAGCGGCGCTTTTTGATTTACTTACCCGCGGATCACTTGAGGCAGTCGTCGTCGTTGTCGTTGGAGTTGACCCACCGTCAGATGGCACCGCCCAGCCCAGACCAGACCAGACCAGAGTCGGTGGCACCGTTAGCTGCACAGCTCCGTCGCGCCGAGTTGCGTTGTGTCGTGTCACGTTTGATTCGTGCCTGGCACATCGCACACGATTCGCATCGATTTGCGCGCGCCCACTCTCGCCCATGATGTGCGCAATGCCGTGTTCGAGCGCATACTAGTTGCGTTCCAAGTTGTGCTTGACGCCGGCGGCCGCTCCGAGTCGGGCCGAGGGGTTGTGCATTCGGCGCATGCGCATTGCCGGCGCCGGGCCACTCGCTGTCGAAACTGGTTTGCTCTCCGAGTGCGAGCGGGACAGATGCATGCGATAAAATGATGGCAGCACTGCTCTTTCCAGCTGCYGTTGCCGTTGCTGCTGCTGCTGCTGCAAGTGTGTGACGTGTGTGGGGCCCCCAATTGGAATTGCAGGCGTGGAGGGGAAATTGCTCCGCCCATTGAAAAGCTGCCAATTTTCGTATCAGCCGGCGTATTTTTAAGTTTTCAACTTTGCCATGTAGTTGTAGGGTTTTAATTAGTACATTCAAATAACGCGAACGAAAGGAATGAACCCACACACCATCCGAAAGTAGGTATGTAGTTCGACTCACACGAGAGGAGCACTTACAGTAACAGGTAAGCAATAAAAGTACTCTAAGATCACTTGATATATATTTATAGCTATAACCAAGAGTATTTTAGATCTAATTCAAGTCTAAGTTGGGTTTGTGTATATTTAATTTGGACTGGAATAAGTCTTAAGAGGAGTTTGACATTAGATTAAAAACTGAAGCAAAGCTCAAGCTTATATAAAAGTCTAGTAACAATTTGGGTAAGTCTCTCTATAAAGCTAAGATAATTAAGCCTGCTATCAGGCAGCGAGTGTCTTACAGAACTAATACATGCCTTTGGCACTTGTCTTGGAATATGAGCACAAATTTTGAAGATCTAACACGAGTCAGAGTCTGAGGGAAAATGTTAAATTCGAAATATTATCAGATCTACATAGTTTTCAGGCAGGTAGTGCAGGACTCTCGTTTTGTACATTATCGCTCCAATGTGCGCAGAGCACACACACTCGACATATGTGTACATATGTACTTGCCTATGTATATGTGCGTGTGTGTGTGTGTGGAGCATCTATAGCTATAGCCAAAGGCCTGCACATGAGCCTACTATGTCCGTCTACGTCTATAGACTCTGAACATGAGCTAATCAGCAGAACTCAAACAGCGCACCCCGACCACCCGGCCAACCGGCCAACCGGACACCCGGCCACCGTTGCTGGGCTGGCAGCCACCTCGCCGTGCTGCCTGGACTGTCGAAAATTGCGTCCATGTCATGCATTCGCATCCATTCATTACCCACTAGTAGCTGAGTGGCCGGACAACAGCGTTTGGCGTTTTGGATCCCTGCAAATATGCCGTGTTCGCATGTTATCCCAAATGTTCGGAGTCCCAAATGCACCCGCTGCACATTAGCCGGCCGTGAGAAAGAGAGAGAGGGGAGAGGGAGAGAGAGAGAGATCTGGACGCTGGGCACCGGTCACTGGTCACTGGTCACTGGGAGTTGGGCTTTCTGTACTTTATTTTGCCGAACGAGCAAACATCTTGTCCGACTAGGAAACAAATGGCTTTGCTGGTTTCAACATTCAGCTGCTCCTTTTTTGCATGCCCGTCTTCCTTTTTTTTTTTTTTTGCTTTTTTGTCCACTTTTTTTCGGTGTTGTTACGGGCTGACTTGGCCGTCCGCACACAGTGCTTCACTAAATCCTTCTATATGCATGTTTACACAGCATCCTATCCCTTCAAGTATTTCAAAAATGTTCCACGATGCACAAATGTTGTTTTACCAAATGCAAAAATACTTTGCTTTAACGTGTTAAGAGAGCACGACTTTCCCGTCGAAATCAACTTTAATGCAAATTAGTTTTTGCTTTTAAATAATATCCATTGAAACGTAACAGAGGAGATCTTGAAGAGGTTCCCCCAGTTGCCAAGTATATAAAATCTTTAGTATAAATATAAACTAATATTATACAATATAAATCATTAATAATGAATGAAATGAAATAATTGAATGAAATAATTTGTTCATTTGAATATATGGAAGAAAACTAAGTAAATAATATAATAATTTGTGTATTACTAGTACGAAGCTTTTGTTAATAAGAAAGTCGAGTAAGTCAATAGAAATAAAGATGGGCTAAGTAAAGTCTACTCTAGTGCATGATTTGTTAGTAAAAGGTAAGCATTTAATTATATATGTGTGTGTACAATGGATTCTATTCAATATTAATAGAATTTCTTGAGTTTTATAAGTAAGTTATATAAATTAATATCCTTAAGACCCAAAATTCTTGGACAGAAGAAAAGACTTTTGTTATATTAATTCTTATTATTCTGATTTGATCAAATAAAGTATCATAATTAAATTTAATTATATGGTCTGATCGTCAAGTAAAGACATACTCCAGCCTGGTCTACAGTCTACAGAATTCGTGCTTAAGTTACATTGAATGCTAAGGAACATCTAATTATCATAAATAATCAGAATATGCTCTTCAAAATGTCTTCTTAACTGACATAAGGTAGCTAGACTCCTTGCAACTTCTGTTGATCAGTTTCGAGCTATATCCCATCGAATTTTTACTTGCCTTGGACATACGAAATAGTTATGAAACTTAAATATAGACTTATCATACAAATGCATAAAATATAATAATATATCATAAAATTCCAAAGACGATTGCATAGCTCACCGTCAAGTCTTGTATAGGTGAAGCACAGCAAGCAACCCATCATAGGCCACTCAGTTACATAATCAGCATTCGTTCCGTGAAACGATCAAGCGAATGAGCCCTAAGCCAAGAAGATAAATAAACAGAGGCAAAACAAAAGCCAAACTGAGGGAAACATGAGCCAAATAAAAAACCCATTTGCACACAAATTTACTCCCAAAATGGCCAAGGAGCGCATCATTCAAGTTGGACTGCTCTTGGACTCTCCACTGGGCACTTGGAGCTGGCCATTGGCAACTGGCATTTGGTAACTGGACACCGGATGCAGATAAATCTTTGGGCTGCCGCCAACAGCAACAGAAAGCAAAACAAGCTGAAAGCTCTGGCAAGACAAGTGCGAGTGCGTTTGCATGCGCACGAGGACCTCAGTCTGAGAGTTAAAGCTCGATCGGAATCATGCGATAAGCAGGCTTCCCAGTCGCCACTCGTCCCTGCCGGCCGCTCTTCGCCTGGTCTCTCCTGCACTACCTCAGCCCCCCTCCGCCAATTCCCCAAATGCCATTTGGGACTCGTTGACAAACTTAATTGCGCCTATTCCTGCATTAATTGTACACACACGCGCGATTGGGCGCACGATTTGCATGGCGTCTGTGGCTGCCTCACTGTGTCCAGCTGCAGCGCCTGCAACTGGTCTGGCTTGAGATTTTTGTTCCATGCTTCATATAGGGCGGTACGTGCTACCCAACTAGCCGGCGGAATGTGTTAATTAAATATTTAAATTATTTCCATCATTAATGGAGGATCGCCAATTGGTGAATATAAAGTATATATACGGTTCGAGTTGGTGTTGCTTCCAGTGCGTCTAGACTACATATTTGTGGCAGCAACACCAACAACAACAACAACAGCAGCAGCAGCTGCAGCCACAGCTACATTGGTTTAAGCCCCCGCCATGTCAGAGTCACAGTCGGAGACGGAGTCCGAGTGCGCTCTGCCTTGTTCGATCTGCGTTTGTATTTGGCTTTTTTTCACTTTTTATTTATTTTTGCTGTTAAGTTTTTTTTTTGCATTTGATGTTGGGGCAGCGTGAAATGAAAAATGGCGACACGCGTCCTTTGGGCAAAAAACCACAAAACAATTTTATTTTATTTCCACACACACARCAGCAGCAGCGGCAGCGGCAGCGGGGACAATAATTTAACGGCCAACGTGTCCTTGCGCCAGGACAATGAATTTAAATAAAATTAATTAAATTTGTTTTTCGATGGGAATTGGAGTCGGCCACGCAAATTGAAAACTGTCGAACGAACATTTCGACCATTGTACAATTGGCCCTTCATCTGCAACGGTTTTTTGTTTGATTCCCCCTCCCCCACTTCAGTCAGAACAGTTGGAATTCCCACCGCAAGGATAACAACGACAACAGAGCCATAAACTTGTACGCTATCAATATACATTCGAGCATAGATAAATTAGAGAACGCTTGCGCCTACAGCCTACATTTCAGATACAAATTAGAACCGCGTGGCCAATAGAGCGCCGGCTATCAGCGCAGCCATTCAAACGCCCATCACACACACACACAGCCGCACACCCTCACACACACACACACACGCACGCATATACAACCGCGAATGTACGCAAAACATAACCATGCCCGAGCAACGTCCTCCATGGTGTAACGTGCGCCGGGGGCAGCTTCTGCTGCGGCCCGCTCTCGAATGAGTTATAGCGCTTGTTGGCGATTTTATTGCCACAGCGCAGCCATAAAATATGGTAAATTATAGCGGTTTGTTGTTTTGGCCATTTTGTAGCCAAATAATGTACCACGTGTGCGTCCGGACCCTGTGGACCTGTTTCGGATACGGATTGCCAGCCCAAAAGACCACTATTCGCTATCCACTAGCCGCCGCCTGCCCAACTGCGGTCGTGTTAAAAACTCTCTGTGTTTTCCTTTTTTTTTTTTTATCTTTTTCTTGTTTTTTATAAAAAAAAACTTACTTTACATATTTAGRGAACTATTTACAAGTGCAAATATGTATGCATGTAAATATGTTATACTATACCATACATCCTATTCAGGTAAATTTTCACCATAAAGCTTAAAGATTGTAGTTGATAGGGTACTTCAAGACAGTTTAACACTTAGACTGAATATGTAAATGCTTGAGAAATTTAGCATAATGATATATTATATGCTATATGAAGAGAAAATTTCATATAGAACATTCTTAGTTATAGATATAGAGTGTATATATAATAACAAAAATGTGATTATTAGCTAAGTTTCAGCTGAGATTTCCTTTAGACTAAGCAGGAATACCTTCAAATATGTTTCTAAGTGAAATATAGTGTAAATAATTTTAAAAAATTTTTAAAAATTTTTTAAAATTAAAAATTTTTTTTTTTAATTTTTATTCCATTTTTATTCCATTACCATGCCTCAGTTGCAACTACTAATGTGATTTCTTTTTGTTTTCATTCCAATATAAATTTCACACAATATGAAAAGTATTTATTTAAATTGTTATATGCTAAGTATATGCCAGCTTATTATATATATAAATAAATTTATTTACATATATAGAATTTACAGCGTTTGGTTCATACTCCACTGTCTGCAACAGACTTTTGGCGACATTAAGGTTCGTTGCATAGCATAAACAAGTCACAATGCTGCAGTCGGGTGTAACTGGCAGCAGAATGCTCATTCAAGAGCAAAAAAATATATATATAGATATTAAATTATGTTAGCAAAGTAAAACTCATTTCAGGACCATGAGAGCTATACTCCATACCAATTAACAATGTCTCAGAACTATAATCCATTTCGAGCACCTATAACACCCTAGACATTTGAATCTGATATTATATGAAATGCTGCCTTTGTCACGCCCCCAATATGAGCACTCCAACAGTTCAGGGTGCGCACAATTGAAAATCTCTGCAACGAATATGCCCGTTTCACATTAGGAACGGACATGGCAAGGGGCGTCAGGTGCTGCAACATTCGCATTGCCCATTATGCCACATGGTTACGGCTGCCTCAACGGTTGAGGCAATTGTGCGGAAAACCCCTAAACATGTTTCGGGTTAATTTAAAATGTGGCCAGGCCCGATTCGCACAAATAAAAGACAAAATTAATGTTGACATTTTCCACTCTGTGTGGATGAAATTGTAAAAGCCAAAACAGACAAAAGCCAATGCAACAGTGGAGCTTATATATGTTTATGTAGGGTTGATTAGGGCATGGTCAGTGCACACATACACACACACGCTCACACACACGCACAGATAGCGACTGCTGCACTCTGCAAAAGAGTGCAATTGAATGCAGATGCTACCATAATTCAGACAGCTAATTTGAAAATTTTTTAATTTATCTAACGATTCGCGCAGGCCCAATCCGAATGGGCTTTAATGGCAGCCAAAAGGGAAGAGTTTGCTTAATTAAATGTAGAATATATGTTGAGAATGTATATCATTTGAATTTACCCTGAGCCTAGCCTATCTCTGACTCTCCCTTAGCCTATCGGCTATCTCGACCTCTTATACTCTCATAGATCGAGCCTAGTCGAATCATTATTCAACTTCTTGGTAAGTGTTTCAAGTGAATTAAATTTGTTTCTGCGCTCTCTTGGAAATGAAATCACAATTTCTATCATTGTCGATAGACTGTTGGGGTTATAGGGCTTAAATTGATTGCCGTGCATTTAGGTGTGGTCGCATTAGCCACATTTCTCAATCCTATCCTATTGAGGAATGAGGAAGAAGCAGAAGGCGAAATAAAAATAGAAAGAGAGAGAGAGAGGGAAAGGGAGAGAAAAAAACACTCAGTCATGTCCAGAATGCGATACACATGTGACGCGTGTCACAAACGCAGAGAAAACCCATAAATCGTCGATGACAAAATGGAATTATCGGCGTTTCAAAAAATATATGTATATATAAATACAAATGAAAAGAAACATATTCGTAGTTACATACCACAATCATAACAATACCTGTATAATCCGCTTTGGCATACCTGATACCTGCACAAAGAGCCGCACGAGCGTTTCCAAAAAAGAGTAGCCAAATATCATTTATAAGTTCTTTCAATACAATGCAGATAATAATCTCTAACAGGTATGGGTTACTTCTTAATGCTCCAATTATCCATGGATATTTCACATGTACTTGAAATCGATGTATGCGTCTCATATTTCCATTCAGGTCAGTTTAATCAACTATTTATGAGTCATACTCTGCTTGACTTGACTTGAGTTGACTTTACTTACCTTCTGAACTATTTATAAATGCATTTAAATATGTAGTTAACTATAGAATAATAAATACATATTTGATAAGGTATAAGCAGACAGACTAATTCTTGAGGATCGAATACATACATTCACATCTACATACTTACAAATATACTGGAATAAATGCTAATATACAGTATAAATACATACTTACCTTCATACAACTATACATACATACATTCATATATCCATATATTCATACATTCATACATTCATAAATGCATACATTCGTCCATTCATACCTTGATACATACTTTCACACATTCATTCATCAGTGTCTAAAAAGCTTCTTTCACAGCTGGACTTGCCCTTAGAATTGAAGACAATATCTCTATTCATTTTGAGAATCGTACATACATACATATGTATGTATGCATGCATATCCAAATATACATATGTTGTCATCAAACTACTTTACAAACTTTAGCAGCAGCTTCTTTAGCATCTATCCACAATCTTTCCCATTAAAAACTTTCATCACTCATGATCTTTATTGTATTTTATTTAATTTTAATTATATATATAGTGCAAGTTTACAAACTTATTTTGTATTTTAATTATTAGAATTATTTTTTAAAAATTGTATTACATTTTCAGACCTACATAGTTATATATTTATGTGTATGTGTATATGTATATGTATTTACATGCTTAAATTTGATGGTTAACTAGGGAAATTAGCTAGCAAGAAGTTAAGAAGTGATGAATGTGTGCATACATACATCATAGCACATACATACATATGTGCTTACATCAATTGTGAATATGCACATGCACATATTTACATAGTAACTGCAAATGATTACAAATACATTTTCATAGTTTGCCCACTCTCGAGTAGTTATCGATTATTCAAGTTGTTTTTATGGATATATCACAGAAAACACTGGCTATCAAGTTTAGCTATTTATTCGCAGCTATCAAAAATTACAATTCGTTCAAATAAATCAACCTAAGCACTCTTTTATCCATATTACAACTTACTTAGTTTCATAGTGTTTCCGATATTTTTTTCGCAATTCTAGCTTAAATAGTTCTAGGTTCTCTCTTCAAGATTTTATCGCACTTATACATAAAGGTAGTAATTAAATAACTGTATAAACAACTTTGCACACAGAGCGAGAGAAAGACAGAGTGAGAAGTGTGAGAGAGCGAGAGTTCAGAAATGATGTCTGAATGAGCTGAGAAATGTTCCAAGTCGTCTTGGAGAGCTGTGTACTGTCATCATGTTCGAGTCATTAAACCCAAGCCGAGGGAGGGGAGTGTGTGTGTGTGCGTGTGTGGAGGGACTGAATGAGTGACTCAAACAAATCCCACTGCATGACAAACGGCTGTGTGTCGTCTGGGTAGTCTGTCTGCTTAAATTGATGAGTGTGAATATGCTAATTAAAGTTATAAAGTGAAATAATTTACGATATGGTAGGAAATAAAGTTTTTATTGCCATGCTTAAGCTACATTTATTGCAAAATAATTAGTGTGGTATCGTTATCGTTATCGCTATCACCATCGCTTAACGATTGCCGGCGATATTTGTTTGCACTTGTCCACTTGGGCCTGGTTACGAAAATATTTGGTATCGGCATCTACTAAGGCCAACTCCCCCGTCCGTCTCATCCAGAGCCTTGTCCCATTAGGAGTTGGATCGACTGCTCGTCAGGTAGCTACTGCTACTGTTGTAGATGTTGTTATTGTAAAGCATTGAACCCATGGATGCTATTGGTACCGGGCCGGGTCCGGAATGCAGCGTAGAGCTGCTGTTGCTGTTGTTGCTGCTGCTGCTGCTGCTGGTGTTGTTGTTGTTGTTGTTGCTGCTGGAGTTGTTGTTGCTGAGAGAGATCAGCTTCATATTTGGCGGCGTCTGCGGCGGCGTATCGGGCTGTATCTCGGAAAACCCCACCCTCTGCTGCTGGGAATGGGGCAGGTAGGGCGCCTGGCTCGAGCTGGAATGCACCTGGAGCTGGGAGAGGTCGCGATGCATATTGATAGGCGTCTTGGTATGCATGCCCATGGCCTCGGTGTACACCGTAGGTATCCGCGAATATGGCGATGCGGCGGCGTAGCTGCTCATCATACTCAGCGGCGAACCGAGCTCGACTTGCGGCCCCATCAACGTCAGCGACTGCTCCGGATGCAGCTGGGTCGTCGGCGAATCTGGCACCAGGCCCGACTGAGACTGTGCCTGCTGCTGCTGTTGCTGCTGCTGCTGCTGCTGCTGCTGTGGATAGAAGTTCTGGCCGAGATATGCCGTAGGCGGTGGTGTCTTGCAGGCGACTGTGTCGGCCACACTCCAGATTTTGGGCTTGCTCGCCGGCACCGGTATGCCACAGTCTCTGCTCAGCTGGTTTTTTTGAAGGGCGTATTCACTGCCAGCTCCAACTCCCTCCTGGCCATGGCCATGGCCGTAGCCAGGATTGTAGTAAGCAGCTGCCGTCTGCTGTTGCTGCTGCTGATGCTGTTGTTGTTGCTCCTGCTGCTGTTGCTGCTGCTGTTGCTGCTGCTGCTGCTGATGCTGCTGGTGTGCATGGGCGTGGGCGTGGGCGTGGGCATGTGCGTAGGGATTGTAGGAGTGCGCCGGATGGCTATTGAAATTGGGTGCACCATACGGCGGCAGGCCACGGATGGCCAGCAAGTTTTGCGGCTCACGCTCCAGCTTCTCCTCGATGTCCAGATCCTTGTCCGACTTGGCCAGCTCGGACTTGATACGCTGATTGCCGGGATCTGGAGATTAAAGTTGAGTTGGCACAACGGAGACAAAAATTAAATTAAATTAATTTCCAAGTCAAGAGCGGAAGTAGAAAACTTCTAAGAAGACTACAAACTTGCCACTTGGCATTTGCCACTTGCCACTTGCCATGCCAACAGCTGGCAACTGGCACTGGCTCTGGCTCTGGCTCTGGCTCTGGCAACTGGGCGTTTGGCAGTCCTTGGCAGGCGCGGGCAAAAACCCTTGAAATTGTTGGTGGGCGTTGATGCGTGCAACCCTCGCGTGGAGTAGAGTCACAGAAAGCTTTCAGCAACAAAATGCTCCGGCTTCCGCCAACTCCGTCCGTGCTCCGTCCGCCAAGTCAGTCGCCAAGTCGAGCAAGGCCGCCTTCCATGCATGTGCCGAGCCAAGTGCGGGCGCAAGGCCACTTTGCCAACAATGTGCTGTCAACTTCCGGGGAGGATGTCGCCTAAGCAGTCAGACAAATAAACGGACGGACGGACGGACGGGCGATAGAGGAAGAAGACAAAGATTGCATAACATTCGTTTCGCCACATAAATTGTACTTAAAAGGCCGCTGCCACAAATCTGTAGTTTGGGGAATGGGAGTGGGGGCTGTGGGGCCAAATGGCATGAAGGGTCAGAAAGCGACAGCCATTCAAATCGATAGAAACAGCCAGGAGGCGGAGGGCATTCGAAAAACAATACAAATACGACCTTAAAATGATATAAGCCCCCGCGCATTCTATGGATATAAAAAAAACATTCGGATTTATCCACTTGCCTGGGTCAATGACATCTGGGGAAGGGGAGGACAAAGGGGCGGGCACAAATTAAGTGACAGCTTACCAAATGTGTCGCTGGCTTGCAGCTTGGTGCCCTCGCCGGGCTCCTTCTCCTTCTCCTCATCCGAGAGCAGTCCGTCGTCATCGTCCTCGGTCTTGTTTTTCGGTTCCCACGTCATTTTATTCTCCTTTTTCAGACGGCGTCGCGCATTCGCGAACCATGTTGAGACCTGGGTTAGCGTCATCTTCGTGATGATGGCCAGCATAATTTTCTCGCCCTTGGTCGGATATGGATTCTTCTTATGTTCGCTGAGCCACGCCTTCAGCGTCGCCGTCGATTCACGCGTGGCATTCTTGCGGCGCGAGGCGAGATCATAGTTGGGCCCATAGCTGCAAGGCAAACAGTTCTCATTATAGATTACAGCCACATAGTGCGCCGATATTACAAACACTGAGCAAACAGAAAGCTAAACAACGCCCCGATATGAAGCAAACAGTCAAGTGCTTGGCTCTTCCGGTCAATCAGGCGCAGTTCAGACCGCGCTCTTATCAGCGCCCCAGGCAATTAACAGTGTTGGCTTGGCTCGGCTTGCCTTGGCCACACCCTTCGCCAGTCAAACAATCACATTCAAGCCCATCAAGCCTTTAAAGCACAACTCAAATGCAAATACAAAGTCCACGCCGCGCACGATGGGACGGAGCAATTAAAAGGTGTTTAAAAACCGTATAATACGATCTTTAACTTTGACGCCTCACTCGGAAGCTGTTACGGAAACTTCCATAAATAAGTAAGTCAACAAGAATCCGACTTTAAATTATTATTTTATGTGTGTGTATTTTTAGAGAACACAGCTTGGGGAATTTGGGAGATATTCATTTGGTTTCAGGAATGCGAATTGAGAGTTAAAGATTGTCTTAGGTATTTAAAATCCTAACACTCTTTAAAAAAATCTTAAGTCTATTAAATCAATCAATCCTAATTAAATCTTCTCCCATCTCGCTTTACCTCCCATAATAATACCATTTAAATATTACTTCAATAGAATTATTTAAATTTATTCCATTAATTTTAATAACCTAACAAAATTTCCTTAAACTCTTTAATACTCCCATGCATAACTCTGTGGCTGATCTGCCTTTAAAATTCAATATTTTTTTAGCACTTTGTTCAAATTTTGTTTCTTCGATCCGAGTACGTGTTGCACTTTCGATTCACAGAATTGTGCGCCGTGAAAAAAAAAATGAAATGAGAATGAGAATGAGAAAACCGCGAGAGGGGAAACGCTGTGGGAATTTTAATCTGTGCATTTGTAACTTCCTCCCGCCCAGCTCGCCGTACAATCAACAGAGCGTCCCTTCCAGCCATAAACTTATTGAGTTTACTATATATTTTTTAAAAGCTTCGCGGCTTCGGCTTCGGCTTTGGGCTAGGGCAGGGTCGCATAGCTACAAGCACGATATCCCGGCAGATTGTCTACGCGCGTTGCCGCACAATTTAAGTCCGGACCTGGGCCACTTGCCACACGTCTCATGCCCCCTGCCCCCTGCCACATGCCATTTGCCACTTGGCACTTGCCAGTGGCTCAAACCTTTTGGTGGTGATAAAAACTCAGCAGACGGCACACGAAAACTTTTGGTCGCCGGGCCATGAAAACATTTTAAACTCGCTTAACTTTCTTGGCTGTTTGTATTTGTTTAGTGTATCGGTGAAACGCAGATTAGAGACTCACCCGTAAGCGGCCAGAGTGGGATCGTAGGAGTAATAGCCACTAGTTGATTGCAGGCCAGCTGAGGTCCAGGCGTTCATATCGGTGCCGGTGCTGGTATCCTTCATGCCGTAGGGATTACTCTGAAAGTGAAGCAATTTACGCACACTCAAATAGTTAATCAGTCGTTGAAGAGCCTCAATGAGTCGGCTAAGCCGATAAAATGCTTGTAAGCTTCCAGCAATTGCCTACTGGAGTAGCCACAGCGACAGTTGAACAGACAGGCAGACAGACGGACGAGTGGACAGTTGGACAGTTGGACAGATCAAGAGATCGTGATGGCCTCCAGCACAACTGTTGATGGCCAAGCACAGTTGAAAACCGGATGGCAAATCGTTGCGAGGCGCTCGCAACCTGTCGTCGGCTTACTTTCTGCGTGGACTTATGCCCGCTGCACAAATCCAATTAGCCACATAATATAATCAACGGCATCAAGATCACTGAGTGAGAGAGAGAGAGAGAGAGAGAGAGGGAGACAGCACTTACCAGAGGCGAATAGAAGGCCGAGTTGTCCACACCGATGCTGGGGTAGGGGTTCTGCTCGTTAGAGGGATACGGGCCGCCATAAACTCCTACGCCAGCCGAGGGCAATGCCATGCGCGAGTAGCCGCCGAGCGTCAAACGCGCCGAATCGTACTGGCACGAGCAGACTGTCTGGCCCGAGACGGGATCCGTGATGATCGGTCGTCCGTTTTCGCAGCAGGACATGCTGTGCGCTGCACGGACGTGAACATCTAGGGCACTGCCAACGACTCCGACGCCGACGCCGCTGCCGCCGCCGCCGCTGACAGCTGGGTCTGTTTCTGTAGCGCCGGTTACATCGCTGCCGACTGCATCTGCATCCGTCGGCGACGTGGCTGTGGCTGCAGTCGGGCCCGCATTGTTAGACGACTGAGAAATTGCACCTGGACTCACTGGGCCGGTGATGCCTGTGGTAGTCGAGCCGCCCGAGGGACTGAGGGAGGCCTCGTTTGTGCCGGACAGCGGCGAGGGCACCGAGCCCCCACCATGTCCGCTCTGGCTGTCGCCAGTGGTTGCCGCCGCACCACCGAGTAACTAAAAGCAAAAAGAAAACACGCTAAATTTATTTCATCGAAAAAAAAACTATATATATATATAAATATAAAGGCAAAAAAGGTTTTGCAATGGGACGATTCTTAAAACAGGTGATGCGATCAAGGACGACATTCGGACAAGGGATAGGGACAGCGGCAGGAGAAGGGCATGTTAGGCAGAGTGCCGAACCCGAGACAGAGACGGAGACCGAGCCCGAGCCCAGGTCCGAGCCCGAACTCGAGCTCAGGTCGAAATCAAGAAAACAGATTAAGACGATAACTCCAAATGTCAAAATATTTTATTGGCTTGGCGCATTTTGCGATCCGTTCCATCTATTTTCACTTCATTAATTTTCAATTTATCACAGTCAGATTTCAGATACTGTTTTGGGGCTGTCTTTGCTCTCGTACTCAGATGGACTCGGATGCTCAGATGCTCCGATGCTCCGATGCTCAAAGCCTCGGCACGGGCAACTCTTTGAAGAGGGTACATCCGAAGTATCAGCGGACCGATCGACCCGCTCGATTGAGTGTGGGCATTGCGCAGCCAGAAAGGCAAAGAAATTGAATGAGGCACTCAGGTATGCGCTTGCACGATAACCGCAACGAATCGCCGACTTCGATTTGAGAGACTGTCCAGAGAGACTGTAAGACCCTCACCACTCAAAACAAACAGCAAAAGCCAGAGCCAGAGCAACAACAAGGCAAGGCAAGTGCTAGGCTGCTCTGTACCCATGCTGAGCAGGAGAGGGAGAGGGAGAGGGAGAGGAAAAGGCTGCCCTGTAAAGATCAATGAGCGTAAAATAATTTATTTCTTCAGGCGCTTGACGCCTGCCTGCCTGCCTGCCTGCCTGGCCTAACCATATAAGATAATCCAGTTCATCCGAATTCCCTCCTCTCAACTGTCAATATTCTAATTACGTTATGAATGGCCTATCCAAACTCTCTCTCTCACACAGAGGTGAGGAAACTGAGGTCGTATTCCATATACTGAATTTTTGATTAACCTATTACCCAAAAAAAAAAATAAGTTAAAGAACAGTTATTACTGTTGCCACTTGTTGCTACCGTTGCCCAATTGGGGCGTCGTCCTCTCACTCGTTGGGCTACTGTAGTCAAATTTATGCTTTAAATAATAATAATGGTAATTCAGGGCTTAAACAAGCTGATTTCCAACACCTCCTGCCGGGCTATCTAATCGCAAGGCAATTTCGTGCGGACACACCGCGTCCAGCTCCAACTGCTGTCCCGGACTTGAAATTATTGCATAATGAAGGCGTTTTCATGAATGAAATCTAATGAATTCTGAATGAATGACCAGTTGGCCCGATGGCCGATGGCCAACTGTAACGACGTCGACGGCGACGCAGGCAGCAGGCAGCAGGCAACGAATCCAAAAAACCACAACAAGTGGCTGGACTGCCCTCCTCATTGTCCTCCTCCTGTTCCTGCTGACTCTCTCACTCTATCGGAGTGTGGCCCTCTCTTTCGCTCAGTCAACAGCTAATGTACAAAACGCTGCGCGCGCTCATTTCTTATTATTTTTTATTTTTATATGCGATTCGAACATCAATTTCAGTTTTTGTGGTCGTCCATAAAAAACACATATCAGCGACGACAACGACACTGAGGACCAGGACCCGAGACCCGAGACCCGAGACCCGAGAATGGCCAACTGGCCCGCCGTCCGTCTCTCTATCTGCCTGTCTGTCTGTCCGGGCGAGCGCGGTCCGGCGAGGCAGCCACCGGCCAGCGCTTATTATCGGCACGCAAGTCAGTTTATTTTTAATGATTCTCACTCACCCACTCTGGGATGCATTGTGGAGGACTGGACGAGGACGAGGAGGCGCAGTAAGCTCGGGGAGCCGACTTTATCGTGAGCTCAACGAACAGACAGACACCAACACACACACACACAGGCACACACAAACACTCAGAGAGGATTGGATGGTCCCGCGGGGACTGGATTGGCTTAAAGACGGCTTTAGTTACCACAATGCGGAAATGTTGCAAATGTTGCCAAGTGTTGGCAACTATTAAATATTGCTTTATAGTGCGCTGTTTTATGACTTGAATATTACGATAAACGGTGTGAACTGCATGTCCGCTTTTGAAGTCTGCCATGTCGAGGGAAGGATATGCACACATACACAGCAACACAAACACACGCACACACACACTCACTCACACAGATGTCGCATTAAGACTGGAAGCATTTCAAATAAATTACTACGCTGCTGCATAGAAGTGCTAAAAACACACTTTGTAAAGTTAATCAAAGCTTTGATTAAGCTAATTAAATGGAATAGTAAAAACTTGATTGAATTGAGTTTTTTAATGCTGAATTCAAATACTCTATTGGCGTAAATTATAGGCTTTAAAATGAAAAATAGTAACGATAATGATAATAGCAACGGCAATGAAGATAATAGAATAATATTGAATGAGAGTAATGGGAATAATATTGAATCTGGTAATGTCAACGGAAATCATAATGACAATGATAATGATAATGAATTTACCAATGTCAATGATAATGGTAATGAATTTACCAATGACAATGACAATGATAATGAATATGACAATGACATAATGATGATAATAATATGATATTGATAATGCTAATAATAATCCTATTAATAATATAATAA